CCCCTACTTCTATGCTTCCTTCATCCTCCCAGTTCAGTCTTGAGAGGTGCTACTTGAATTGACTTCTGTCAGTTGCTTTTGATGCATTCAGCAATAAAATGCATCAGTAAACTCTAAAAGCAGCTGACACTCTGTGATGCATTTATGAATTTCTGTCCTGAGTGCAGTGCTATATTGCTAAAGTATTAAGTCAAACAAATTTGATTTTTTCCCCCCAAGTCTATTGCGATGCTGCCAGATTCAGCCGGACAAACTGCTCTCCGTAGGCCTCTTGCTGGCATCTGCACTTAAGAAGTCAAGTCTCACGTCACAATGATTAAAGCCGGAATTCAGTTTTCAGGTAAGCATCCATTCCTCGGGTAATAGAAATGGTATGTCCAGACCGAAGTTTAAACCAACTCCTCGGCCACTGACCAATTTGGAAATTTGTAGATGTCAAACTAAGCAAGATACAAGGAAAACAACCTCTCTAGAGCATTTTTAGCTAGTGCAAGGCAGTGCACACACATGATCACATTTATTAATTGCCCGGAATCACCCCGGGAGGGAGGTCATTACTACGTCTATTAACAGACAAAGAGTAGATAAGTCTGGGGAGACACAGTTGTTGACAAAGCTGGGACTTGAACCAAAATCTGGTATGAAACCTGTGGTGCTTTCTGTTAAGTGCTTTCTGTTTCCTGGGAATATAAAGGAGGAAAGATTTATTGTTGGACAAAATAGCTGCTTTCAAATGTGATCACAGAGAAGAAGCTGGAGACTTGTTTTACTTAACACCATGCAAGAGAGCTGGGATCACGGCAGGGCAATAAAACTTGGGATAAAATAAGAATACTTTTCTAACACTGACCTGTTTGAAAATGGAGGAAAAAAAATGCATGGCTTCCCGAGTTTGAGTCCCTGCCACTAAATGTGTCCAAGAAGAACCTGCAGTGCCAAGGCCTCTTCTGGCCTCTACAATCATTCAATTCTAAGGTTCTAAGAAAATGTCTCTTCTCTAGGAAATCCTTGCTATGAGAATCCTTCTCTCCCAGCCTCCATGTTTCCATCCCATCCCAGCTGTGTGACCTTAACAAGTCCAACTGCCGTTCCTCAGCTTACTTAGGAGTGAAACAGGAATAAGAGCATTTCCAGGCAAGGTTATTAGAAGATCAAAAATGACAAGATGTTGGAAATGCTAACCCTCAGAAAGCTCAAATAGTGTTAGTTACCTCTTCCTACAAGTCTATGAGGTCAAAGTCAGTGTCAGTATCAGAGGATCCATTTGGGGAGAGCTTCAATTGCACCAAAAGCACAGGGAAGGAAGCGAGCCAAGATGCGAGGTCTCCCCTTAGACATGTCTCGATCAATCATGAGTATGTACTTGCTACTGACTTGTCTGTATTTCTGCTTGCTCATGCCCAAGAAAATAGTGCCATGTTCTTATGCATACTTCCAGGCTTTCTGATATGCATTTCTTAGTAAATTCTACATAAAAGCATCAATTAACTTAGCTTTTTATATGCCATTCACATCCTCTAACTTTTCCCTTGATGCATTTAATAAAATATAGCATTATTCTGTTTTATAATTAATCATGAATATTCTCTCTCAAAGAGGGTTTGTTGGCCACCAGTCAATGTCTACTACCCTTATCGGATAAAAATAAAAGGCTAATAGGCAAATTGTCCCCAAGGGTGGGAGTTAGATGTTCACTGACCACCAGGGGGCAGCACAGAACATGACGGGTGTCAACTAAGTCAGTGGCTCTGGCAGTGGACTGCAATGGAGGCACTGCCAGCTCTGATGGGCCCCAAGGAGAGCAGGATTGCGATGGGATGGTGGAGCAGGTGAGGAGGCAGCGCCAGGCCTAGGCAAGTGCGAGCAGGGGCCCCAATAACCCCACTGGTCACCCCACAGATTGGCCCTGATCACCAGCCAGGCCTAGGGACCCTACTGTACATGAATTTCATGCACTGAGTCTCTAATTTAATATAGAAAATGTTTTAGATATATAGAAAAATTAGTGTTGGCAAACCATCAGAACTTTCAGCTGCACTCCTGCTTTGTAGTACCAAAAAAAGCTAACTGGAAGACTCAAAAGAGAGTAGAATGTATTCAGAACAGATATAACAATTAAGACACATGAATGTGATTTTTAAAATTCAGCTCTGAGGTTCAAGTAGCTGTTGATAAGAAAAGGTGCTGTTGCAGAAGCATTCCATCATACATAGAACTCTAAAGAATACACCTGGTGTTTAAAGTAAGACAATGTCTATAATCTTTATTGCTGTGTAGGAAAAAACATAGTAGTAGGAGATTAAAAATCTAAGCAAATTTAATTCCATTTGAACAGAAAGAGAATTTATCATTTAAAACTGTATTGTCAGACCTTGGCCAAGGTGGGTCTTAGGTTTCTGTGGGGTTCACAGGCACTCATAGGACTCTCAGGACAGAGTTATTCTGATTCACTGCCCTCGGGTGTCTAGAACACACATGGGCTCCCAACATGTGAGATGATGGTGGCAATTCGTGTGTCTCTCTCACGCTGAGTGCACCGTGGAGAAAACCATGTGTCATAGTTTAAGGAGCCTTTCCTCATCATTATTTCCAGCTCTGGAGTGAAGAACAAGCCTTTGGGGATTACATTTCAAATAGGTAGGGTTTATCTGTTGTTCTTTTATTTTTACAAACAACAAAAATAAAGTATGTATGTGTGCTTATGAAGGTTAAATTAATAAAACATCAAATAATAAAAATTTAAAGACATCATAATTTGAATCTTAACTTCTCTAAGCACAAATATTTGATGGTAAAAAATAATTAATTATGGTTTATGAGAAAGCAAAATAGTCCTAAAGTAAGATGTATAAACAAGTACATATGCAACCACACAATCTGTGATACAAATGTATATGCATGACTATGTACACCTATAAATATTATATAAAATAGGGAAATGTTAAAAATAAATAGAAGTCTAATGTTTATTTCTTAAATAGCCTTTCCCATACATCTCTATATTTTAAAACATAACAATCTGAGAATTCTATTGCGTTAAACTGCCTGGACTATAAGTGGAATAAAAGTCAGATATAATCAGTGCAAGGAAATATTTAAAACAAAACAAGCAACCAAAAACAAGCTTTTTGTCCCTGACCTAATGTTCCCCAGCTCTGTACCTCAGACTCTCTAGTCAGTGGAGCAAAGATGAATTACATCAGAAGTAAAAGACAGGAAGTACAAGAAATCACAGGCTATAAGACTACTGTGTCTGGTTCATAGGAAGGGAAATAGAAAAATTTGGCAAAGCACTAAAGGAAAAAAAATAATAACCTCAATATTTCAGAATTGATTTTCAAAAATTATTTATTCTAGAAAATACAACTCATGGTTGTTCAATTTGTTTTCCTTAAACACAATCAAACTCAACTGAACAGGAATTAGGGGTATTAAATCAAAAGTGGAAATTTGTCTTGATAGCCTCTAAATCTGAAATTATTATATTCCTATTTCCTTCCAAGGGTCATACTCTAAACTTGACCATTCTGTTCTTACCCTCCCTCAAAGGCACTGTATGTAGTCACTCATTTTCATTTTACCAAAAATTTCCAGTCCCGATTTCGGTTTCCCAGGCAGTCTAAATGCTGGGTAGCACACACTGTTAGTGACAGTTAAGATAAAAATCACAACTGTTGATTGTGAGTCAGCAAAAGGAGGAATAAAGTGCTCAGCTTCTTATCTGGAAAACATGTGACCTGCTGCTAGTTCTAACTTAGTTCGTGCTTGAACCTCGTAGCACTCTGGTCAGATCTAACCACCAGGCTAGGCTGGTAACAGGTTTCTCAGGCCTCCAATGCCTTTGAAAGCTAGACTACTCAGCTGACCCGTACACCCTTCAGACTGAAAATAAATGCAACAAAATTTTATTGGGGATAACACCTCCCAAACTATCAATATTTTACATGTCTTCCCAAATAAAATACAACAAAATAACAGATGTTTATGAGACAGCCTGAGGGAAGCCAGAAAGAAAATAATGGCTTCAATACTTATTTTTTGGCATGAATATAAATTACTTTAAATTGTGTGCTACCTATTAAGTCAAAATGCAAAACTGTATGAATCCGGACAAACCAGAAAAGGGGACAGCCAGCAGTACAAATTCCAGAAGTCATAGCATTTTTACTAAAATAAATTCTTGGTAATAAGTGGTCCTTAGGGGCTGGGTCAGACAGCAAACTTAAGATACTATCTTTTCCCCAATTGTCTTTATATTTCATCAAAAGAAGAGCATCTTAAGTTTACAATTAGGATTTCTATATAATTTTATGCTATATAAATATTGCAAGGCAGTATTCTCCACTCCATACACACATAATTGTATAAGTTAGAATACAATTATATAGTAACATAATATTGTTTCAAATTTATTATAAACTTGAACATAAATGTTTATTTTTAACACTCTTTTTAGTATTAAAACACTATAGAACTTCCTGAAGATTATCTCATCTTCTATATCACAAGAAATTGTCCTTATACTATAAATCAGCTCCATCTATTGTCTGTCCCAATATGAGTCTATTTTAACTTATGTTTATATTTAAGAGGATAGCAACAAAATAAGCTCTAAAAAAAAATAATCATCTTACCCTCTAGTATCAAAGAATCTGCAATGCCTCTAGCCAATATATTTCAATCCTAGAAATGCACTTGATTTTAAAAGTAATGTTTTGACAAGTAACACAAATTATTTAATAACACTGCTCATCACTGCTATTGCTTTATTACTTTCAAACAAATGTCATCCCTTTAATGATAAGACTAATAAACTTTGACAATCTGAAACATCAACTTGAATGTGAGCTTGAAAACAACCTGTTGCAAAGGAGGATGTAAGCCCTTTGAGAGCTGACATCTAAGCATCTGTGAGAACCACGACTGTCAAACCCAGCCACCCTCAGTAAATATCTCAGGCCAGTCCCTGTAACCGTATTATTGCAGATAGAGACACCCACCTCAGGCTCAGGGCTAGCAGTTGCTCCTTTGATCTCAGTAGCTCCCCCACTTTAAAACTGGCATAGCCCAGGAAACTCCGCTGAAAATGAGAGAAAGAACAGTTTTCATTAACTTCTGAGGTTCCTAATACATCCGCTGTCATAGCAATCACACAAAATTAGTCTCTAGAAGAAGAAAATGTTAGATCTCTTAGCCTGATAAACATTTCACAGACAGAAATACAATCATCGCGGATATATCCACCTTATGGGGTAAGTCCCAAGGGTGCAAACGCATCCTTTTCATTAAAAACAAAGACAAATAGCCTGGAAAATAACAAAATGTGTGACACAGAAGCCAGCTGTGTTCCACTAGCTAATTTTCTCCCCATATGAAAGCTGGTGCAAAAAAAAGAGGCTAAACTTTCCATATTTACCAACGCCACTGTTGTTCTTATTAGAATTCTTCATCACTGGCAGCAACAACGTTGAATTTCAGATATGAGCAAATCTGGTTGTTGGGGCTATTTTTATGTGGGACTCTGGACAAGTTATAAATAGAATGCTCTATTTTCCCCCCATCACAGCAATGTTTAAAAGCATTTGTTTCCTTTGTTATTTCTATACTAGCATGGGACAATTTCATCCTGACACACAAGAAATAATGGGACTTGTTCAGTTACGTTTTCTAAAATTGCTTTTTTAACCTATCGTACTGGGTGTTGACTATCTATGAATATCTACTTTCTCCACTCTTTGACTCATAATGTGAAGAATAAAACTCTAAAATTGGTTGTTCTTTTCCCAAATAAAAATCTTTTATCTCTTTTTAACATTCCTGGCTTCTTCTGATTTAAAAGTCACGGTATTGTGGTATACCATAAATGCGATTTCTCATTCTCCCCTCAAGGTCAAGAAGTAAAGATGAAAATATCAAACCCATATTATTGCCTGTGCCATTGCTGCCCAACACACTGTAATATGCTACATGATCAGCGCTACATCTTCAAGAACATTCTATCTTCATAAGTCTGTTATCAGGCTTCCCTAGAATGAAAGACTGGAGGCCAACTGGGTCTTTTCAGGGGAAAGTGTGCAATTACTCCATGCATAAAAGGCTGCATCTATACTGAGCAATTGTTGATAACAAGAAAGGAAAGCTTCTGGTCCAAACATTTCTCCCTCTTTTCCACGTTCTAACCTAGAAAAATTATTCCAAAAGGCTTCAAGGCAAACGTTTGAAATAAACTCAGTTTTTTAAGTTAGAGATGCTTATATGTTGGGGATGATAAACCCAGTTCATTAACTTGAAACTCAAAGAAATGATTTAGACATTGAGTCACCAAAACCAGAAGCATATGATGCTAAATTGTTAGGTGGAGACTGTTAGGTGAAAATAGAGGGCTTGTGAGAAAATACTGGGTCACGGAGGGATGACATGAGAGTAAACAGAGGCACAGAAGGATGTCCAAGAGCCGTATGATCAAAGACTGAAGAACTGTAGGGCAGAGCGAGCCCACAAGAGATCAGTTGAACAGAGGCACTTATGTGACTTCATCAGAGATACCAAGTACAACATCCTTACATACAAGAGCATAAGATGCTGTTATGCCTGGTTCCTTGTTCTATCGGTTTTTCTTTATTAGCACTAATTACAACACACAGATACACACACACACACACACACACACACACACACACCTGCTTATTCTGTACCCCCAAATAAGTGATATTTGAGGCTCTTCCAGGAGCTTTATTCTGTTTTTTGAAAGCCCCCAGGATTGTGATAAATATTTACTGTTAATGAATGAATGAATAAATGGAATAAGCAGAGCTTCAAGTAATTTATTTTATTTATTTTTATTTTTTAATAAATTTTTATTGTTCATATTATTACAAATGTTCCTTCCCCCCCCCTCCACTGCTCTCCTCCACCAGGTTCCCACCCCACCCTCTGCCCTTTCCTCACCCCCCATTGTCCATAGATGCACAGTTTATGTTCAGTCTCTTCCCACATCCCCCTCTCCTCTTTTCCCCAAAATCGTCAGTTCACTCCCCTTCCATACCTCTGATTCTATTATATTCAACAGTTAATATTGTTCATCAGATTTTTTTTAATTTCCTTGGTTTTTAGATTCACTTGTTGATATTTATGCATTTGTTGTTCATAATTTTTATCTTTATTTACTTTATCTTCCGAAAGAACCCTCTTCAGCAATTCATATAAAGGTGGTGATGAACTCCTTTAGCTTTTTTTAAATTAATAAAGCTCTTTATCTGGCCTTCGATTCTGAGTGATAGCTTTGCTGGGTAGATTATCTTTAGCTGTAGGTTCTTACTATTCATCACCTTGAATATTTCTTGCCATTCCCATCTGGCCTGCATGGTTTCTGTTGAGAAATCAGCTGACAATCATGTAGGTGCTCCTTTATAGGTAACTACCTGCTTTGCTCTTGCTGCTTTTAATATTCTCTCTTTGTCTTTGCTTTTGGAATTTTAATTATTATTTGTCTTGGTGTGGTCCTCTTTGGATTCTTTTTATTTGGAGTTCTGTGTGCTTCCTGGACTTGTAAGTCTAATTCTTTCACCAGGTGGGGGAAGTTTTCTGTCACTATTTTTTTCAGTATGTTTTTGATATCTTGCTCTCTCTCATCTTCTGGGACCCCCATAATTCTGATGTTGGTTCGCTTGAAGTTGTCCCAGAGGTTTCTTACATTATCTTCAATTTTCTGGATTCTCTTGCCTTCTTGCTTCTGCAGAGGAGTGTCTTCTGGCTCTTTATGTTTCCAATCCTTGACTTGATTCTTGCAATCTTCCATTCTGTTTTTAGGACTCTGCATAATATTTTTTATTTCAGACAATGTATTCTTTATTTCTTGTTGATCCCTTATCATTTCTTGTTGATTCCTTATTAATTCTAGTTGATCCTTTTTCATATCCTCATAGATCTTATCGATCTTTTCTAGGAAATTCTTGAAAAACCTTATAAGCATAGATTTAAACTCTATCGCTTTTTGTCCTCCATTTCTTTTGTTTGTGATCTATTTCATTGCATTTTTTCAGCTTCCCTGATGGGGTGTGGTTTCAGGGTGGAGCCTGCATCCTTGGCTTCCATCAGCCCCGCCCTATGTGGTTCCTGAGTCTCAGTAATCCCCAGGGTCCTTCAGTGCTCCCTGCAAGCACCTCTGAGAAAAAGGTGCCTCGATTTTCGCCTGCTACCAAACAGTCTAGCCTCTCCCCCAAGGAGCCTGGAACTGGGGTTCAGTTCAGTTGGAAGTGGAGTTGGAGGTGGCGTTTAGAGCAGTCTGGAGCTCCTGTCTCCTTCCCGCCAGGGCAATCCCATGGCACAGCCAACCGTCCCTTCTCTGCACTCAATGTTCGGGCCTCCGGGACCTCCTTTCACCCTTCCCCTGGGGTTCTGCCTTACAGCCCAGCTCCCTATGGATGAGCCTGGGTCCCCGGGGTCTGGCCTAGAACTGGGGTTCAGAGCAGTCGGAACTGGGGCCCAGCACAGTCAGAGGTTTTATCTCCTTCCCACTAGGGAACGCCAGCCAGGCACTCAGCCTGTGCGTGCCGCGTGTCTCCGTACCTTAGGCTTTTACAGCTCTTCAGCTCGTCCTTCTGGTTTTCTCCTTGCTTCTCGTAGAATTTCCAGTCAGTCGACTTTCCTGTAGTTCTGGGTAATGTCCATTTTATATTTTAGTTGTATTTTATTGAAATTGTTGTGTGCGGCTAGGTGTTTACCTGTGCAGCCATCTTGGATTCTCCCCAAGTAATTTATTTTATTAGGTAGAGGAGAAATGCTTTTTCTGCAGATATTTATAAACTACTATAATTCACTGAAATGTGAGAAATCAAAACAATACTAGTATGTAGATTGTATGCTGCTGTAGTAAATTTCATTTAACATTTTGTATTTTAAAGAGGTTTCACTTTCTCTTTCACTGATAATCAGCGTCTTTCATTTACATTCCACTTCTCACTTATTATCCTTTCTCAAAGAAGACCTTTAACTGATCAGAAACTTCAAAATACCTCAGCATTTGCCTTTTGAGATTCTGAAGGTACAAAGCATTTTTGGAATAAATTAAAAACTACACATGTCATGAATGTTACTGTAGTCTCTTCAGCAAGGAAAAGAGCAAATGCCCCAGACTGGAATGCAGCAAGGAGACAGGTGGAGTGGCTATTTCTGGACATGGGCAACAGACATGCCTTGAGGCACAGCTGCAAGTAGAGATTGTGAGCATAAGCCACTGACTGTCTCTCCTGTCCACCAGACTGGGAGCTGCTGTGGAAGCAGGTCCTTGGCTTGACCATCTTTGAGTCAAGCCCAGCACCTGGAACATAGGGGCTGCTCTGGGAGTGCCTGCAATGTGCCAAGAATGCCCATTAGTCAGTCTTTTCCATCACAACTGTCAGCTACATGCCTAATCTCAACAGACAATAAGAGATCTTACAAAAATAACACAATATGTTAAAAATCAATTTGGGGAAAAGACATTCTAGTATTACATTATAAAAACCAGAGGACGTGTCATTTAGGTATAAATGCTACCATATTTATTTTTAAAATAATTATCCTGGGACTACATGTTGCATAAAATGCATGAATGAAACCCCAAAATTTCATGACAATGTATAATTGTTTCACATTGCAACATCAACAATGGCATTGCCTGCCTATACATTTATTTTCTAGAAGGTTTTTATGTACTAGTCTTACTTCAAAATAAATAAAATTAGGTTCCTCTGCACTTCCCCCTAACTCCTCAAAAATGGAAACCACATCATTCATTCCCATGACTATTGATTGGTTTCCAATCAAATAATGAATTAGAGGGAAAAGTATTTTTGAAACCTGAATTCCCATGAGGGGAAATAGCAGACAGGAATGTAAAATAAATTTAATTTTGTTTAACCTGATGTAAAAGAATAACACCATAAAATTATTTCATCTTTGCTGTTACTGTAATCATAATCATAATTTTTTAAATTTTTTAATATTTCAAGTAGAACTCAAGCAAGGAACAATATTTTCCATCTCTCCATCAGTGCTATTTCTAAAATTCTCACCTTAAAAGTTTTTAAACTGGAAGCTCCAATATCAGGGGGAAATTAAAAAGACATACAAAGCATATCAGACTCACTAGAGCTGGAGCTCGGAGGTCTGAAGTGTAGTCCTAAACCAATCATTCTGTTTCAAACCGAAACCAGGCAATTTCATCATCCACCCAGGCCCTGGGCGGGCTGTCCACTGATGGCACTGCCAGCCCTTGTTTCTCTGTCTTCTCTTTTACAAACCTGTGCTCTTGGACAAGTTACTCCACCACTCTAGGCCTTAGGCCTTAGTTTCTGTATGAAAAAGGTGCATATGATCACTGTGTTGCTTTCACACACACACACACACACACACACCTGCTTATTCTGTACCCCCACAATAAGTGAGATTTGAGGCTCCTCAAGGAGTTTTATTCTGTTTCTCATAGTCATTGTTTTGGAGTCGGAGCTAACCAGGAAAAGCACTTGGTATGCTGCTCAGAAAGAGGAGCATTCCATAATGTCAGCTGTCACAGTGATTAAGACAATACACTCAAGCCCTGGATGGGGTGCTCTGTTGATTGAAGCATGCTCTTGTGCACCCAAAGGTTGGAGACTTATTCCCCGTTGAGGTGCATTTGGAGGCAATCAATTGATGTTTTCCTCTCATATCAATGTTTATGTTTCTCTTTCTCTCTGCCTCTCTCTAAAAAAAAAAATAATAAAAAAATCAATAAACATATCCTCAGGTGAGAATTAGAATAATAATACACTCAAAAATCCGATGACTTAAAAGTGTTATAGGTCTACCTTAAATTCTTTTGGGAAAAGTTAGAGTATTTAAAAATATACACATATATTTTCTCATATAGTCTATGAGAAATTCCTACAATAAAACACACACATACACAATACACACACACACACACACACACAAACACACACACACATTTTAAAATAAACAATAGGCTCAGAAAAAATATAAATTAAAAGATATACTAGATTACAAGTGCAAAAAATACCCCCAGAAAAACAAGATATGAAGTTTCTATAGTCCTATACAGTTACTGTTGTTGCATGTTACCTATGATTCCTCATAGCTCAAATGTTTGTCAGATCATGTGGAATGTTCAGTAGTGCCCAAGAAATGTCCACCTGGAATCAAAGAAGGTCAGAGCTTGTTAAGACACTGCCTGTCTGCAAGAGAATAAACTGAGGCCCAGAGGAGTTAACTGCTCACATCTGGTCACAGGCCAATTCAAGTCCAGGTTTCCTGCTTTTTGGTCCAGAATTCTTCCACCCCCATCAAACTAGGCATCATTTGCAAGACAGGTGGCAATGCCTTTCCTTCTGACAGCGCTCTGCCTGCACTGCACGCAGCTCTGATCTTTCTAGCCCGCTTTTGACAGGGCAACACATACCATGATCGCTCTGTTCCAAGCACACAAAGCCAAAGCAAATGACCATTAAATGGTTTCATGCACGATTTCAATCACTTACTTGGCTGGAGTGTGTGCTATCAAGAGGAGGAAAAAAGGGACTGTACAAGTAAACAGTTTGCCTCACCAGCCTTTGCAGGGACTCTGAGCAAGTCACAGATAACCTGGATGCTCAGCGCAGTTGTACACCCCCCTGAAGCAGGTCCTCAGTGGACCCTTGGTCGAGCACTACTATACAAAGAGCCAGAGGATGTATAATACAACCTCATACACGTGGCCATGAGCTGGGCAAACCTCCATCAGGTACATTCATCTAACTAAGCCTTGATCCAGAGTACAGGTCTTCTTTATACTGAAATTTGCAAGGAATCTCCCAAGGTTTTCCAAATACTGCTTAAAGCTGCACTATCCAATGTGTAGCCACCAGCTTGAGCCCTAGCTTGAGCCATAGCTCTAAATTAAGATGTCCTCTAAGGGTGAAATGCACATAAATTTATAAGATATGGATTAGAAAAAAAAAGAAGTGTGATGACTTATTGATAATTAATTATATTAATTACTAGAGGCCAGGTGCATGAAATTCATGCACAGGGGGGCTGTTTCTCAGCCCAGCCTGCACCCTCTCCAATCTGGGACCCATCAAGGGATGTTCAACTGCCTGTTTACAGGGATCAGACTATGGGGGTGTGGCCAGCACGGGTGAGGAGCTGAAGGCTGTTTTCAGGCTAGCCACACCTGCTTCAGGGTGGGAGTCCCTGCTAGAGTGCCTGGCCAGCCTGAGTGAGGGGCTGATGGCTGTTTGCAGAATGGCCACACATTCCTGGTGACCCAAGCTCCCAGACCCTCCTTTTTTTTAAGCACCTCCTTGAGTGGAGGCCAGGGCCAGCCAGAGCAGGTGGGAAGCTTGGCTTCCATCATCACTGGGGGCAATCCAAGCCTCCTGCTCACTCCAGCTCCATGGCTGCTGCCATCTTTGTTGGGTTAATTTGCACACTCACTCTTGATTGCCTGTGTTGTGTAGCAGAGTGATGGTCAATTTGCATGTTTCTCTTTTATTAATGTAGATATTTTGAAATGATATTTTGCAGATAATATTGGGTTAAATGAAATTTTAAAATTAATCTCATCTGTTTCTTTTTATGTTTTTTAAAGCCTGGGCTCCTAGGAAATTTAAAATTATATTTGTGGTACACATTATATTTCTTTAAATAGCGCTAGCTTAGAGTTTAAATAGGTACAGCGAAAATACTTTGACCTATTATTATAAAACTACATACAGGAACTGTGGCATAAGTTTTCAAAGATCTTTGAAGAGCTGACAGCGATATCACAAGGCTGATACACAACATCTTCCCTCACATAACCTACAAAACAGGTCTTTTTTCAGAGCCCAGGAATTTTTTTTTACTGTCAAGCCTAATAGTTATGTTACACCATTTTCCACCCCACAGGAATAGAAAGTGGATACATGACTTATTCACACTAAAAAAAAATAATAATAAAAAATAATAATAATAATAAATCGCACCTATGTTTGTGCCCCCGAGAGAGCCAGCATTTCAAACATCTGCCACGCAGAGTACTCTGATAGCCATCATTGACCTGAGAAACATCAGAGCCAGCAGAAAGGGACCCTCCCCCTCCCCATGGACAAGCACAGAGAAACCCCTCACCAGAGCATGAGCAACAAGAGCAGGAAAGGGTAGGACATGAGTATCAGACTATGCTCACTCCCCACCACAGGCTGCCAGAGGCACAGAGATGTTTAATAGTTACAAATTTCAAAAGGCCTTACACTTGATGAAGGACGAGGGAAGGGTGTGAGGACAGTGTGCAGTGGAGGCCCTAGCTTGAAGGAGGCCGCCTGGGGTGAACATAAACAAAAGATGTCTGACCTCAGCTCAGATCAGGGAAGGAGACAAGCACCTGAGCAATGAAGGCCTGATGCTGGGAAGGACTTGGAGAAATTAAAACGAAGCCCCTGTAGTCTGGGCACGGAGACTGGTAGTGAAAGTGAGAGCAGACCAAGAGGTGAAGCAGAAAACAAAGCACAGAGATTCTCATGAGTTAGAGGTGTTCAGCCAGGGCTCAGGAAGAAACAAGAAGCCTTGTGTTAGGCAAAAGAGAGCACCAAAACACTTCTCTTTCTATCCTACCAGATTCAGAGATGGCTGGCATTCTTCCCAGTCATATTTTTGAAGGGTTGCCTTGGCAGGTTCCGGCGGCATGTTTTGACATGTTTAAGCAGCAAGAAACCGAAAGCATCACAGTCCTGTGGCTGGTTGGTTCTCTGCCTCCTTCCTGAGGAGGTAGAACTCACATCTACAATTTGCCCAGCCTCCCGGTGGTCCAGGAGTATTAGCCTGGAATTGCATCTCAGCTACCTGCATGGTAATCTCTAGATTCCTCTCTAGCCAGCTGCCCTAAACACCGACTCAATGGAGGATTACTTTCAGAAGAAATGTATTCCATGCAACTCAGCAAATATGTGCCAGCGCTTCCTCATGTGCTCACACCCTGTTAATTTAACTCAATTTCATTTGTCAGCCACTAGGCAGGTTCGAAGTGATGTGTGTGCCTTCTGGAAACAAAAGAAACACTTACCCCAGTCTCCGGCAGGGTATCCTTATGTTCAGGCAGGACACTGGTTCGAACCTACGGAGAAAAACAAGCATTCTCTAGGTGATTCTGGAGTAAAAACCAGTGCAGAAGCTTCCCAGGTGCTGGCTTTTACTTTGCTTCACCTGACGTCAGTCCAGACGCTCTGGTTAATCATTGCTGAAGTACCTGTGTACACCCCCACTGCAGAGCAAGGAAGCTGTCCTTTTATAGCTCCCAGCTTTCCTACTGTTCCCGAGTACACAGAGCTGCCTGGATCCTCATCCACCGCCACCTGTCAAACACAGAGATATCTGGCCTGCAAGTGAGTCACCTTTAATTTTCATGAAAAGCAACCACTCATTCAATATTCCAGGGAAATGATACAATTGGTGTAGAGGAAGTTATTCATATCTGCTCAATAGATATTTATTCTCTGAATGAGCACCAAAACCCACAGTTCTTATAAGTTATCCCTCCCACTCGAGAATTCTGGGCCAAATTGTCAGATACCATTATCTAGGTTCACTTGAAAACGAATTCTCAATTGGGGGAGAGGGAAACAGTGTAAAATAATGTCATCTGAGTAGGCTTTTCACAAGTTTAAAAAGCATTCCAAGTGAAATATCAACACCTTAGATGATAAGAGTGTAAAAAGTGTTCCAAGTGAACACTTATTTTTCCCCGAAAATAAGACATCCTCCAAAAATAAGATCTAGCGCATGAAAAGATAAGACATCCCCTGAAAATAAGACCTAGCGCAACTTTGGGAGAAAAAATTAATATAAGACTGTCTTTTTTGGGGGAAACAGGGTATCAGCATCTTAGATAATAAGTAGACACCAGCCTTCTGCTGAGTGGCCATGCTTTGCTTACCCTGGCTGGGCATTAGAATTACTGGGGACCTTTTCAAACTTTGGTGATCTATCCCGCTCTCAGACATGGTTTCTTTGTCTTTCTTTTTTTTTTTTTTTTTTTTTTTTTTTTTTTTTTTTTTTTTAATCAATACAGAGGTCTTTTATTTTTTTTACACTTGGCATGCCATGAATTCATAGGGAATGGGCTCCTGCAGTTCAGGCTCCTTTCCGTGTGCTTCTCTGGGTGGAGCAGACAGGCACTTCAGTTGAACCCAGGTACCTTTCTCTTTGATTTTCTTCTTTTGCTGATCATGTTCCTTCGCATGTTTTAGGAGGGTATCTCGGCTCTTCGAGTGCTTACTTTGCTGAATCTATATGTTAATTCTTTTGGCAAGAATCTTGCCCTTGTTTGTTCACAACAATGCCCATTGCATGCTGGGTGATACTGTAGACTCTTCTGGTTTTGCCACAGGAACAGTTGTGAGGCCTTCTTTTTTGAGCAGTGCCCACCCTCGATGTCCACAATATCACTTTTCTATAGATGTTCATGTTCGCGGCCAAAGGAATAACTCTGAAAGGCCTAGAGAACACAGAGCGGGTGCCTCCCCTCTTTCCCTTTGTGTTATCATTTTGGCAAATGAATGGAAGATAGTGGTTCCGGCCGAAAAGCCAGATGCGGATTCTAATGTTCAGCGGCCAAATCTACAGTTCTTTATGTTGGCGAAAGAATGTTCAGCCTGAGAAACAGTTTTATAAGAGTTCATCTGATCCCGACTGATGACAACTGCCGGGAAGCAAAATCTCAACGGACTGAGAAACTGCTCCAAAGAATGGCAGTTTTGCAGCTTATCTTATACATTAGCACCAAAGGAGGAGACATAAGGAGGGTTCCATGAAAGTCATTGGTGGTAGATTAAGGGGGCCGGAGAAAGCAAAGCGAGAACTCTCTGGGATAGAATAAAAAGCAAGAGGGAGAAACACTTCTTTGATACTTTGCGTGCAGGACAGTTAAGGTTACAGCTCACAGAGAGGATATGTGGGGGACAAGATAGCAATGTGGTATCCCACCTGCCCTGCTGCTCCTGGTTGTGCCTTTGTTTGGGCTAGAAAAGAAAATGACTCAGACATTTCAAAGGTATGTTATCTTAGATTCTCAAAAACAAAGTCAATGTCAAAAGTAAAGGTCATGACAGGGAAGTTAAAGGCCCAGGAAGTGTCTACCACTGTGACCCACTTTCAGTCAGGAATGTCTATCTGCGGGCTTCCCTGCGTGGTCGTGTTGGGACTCTGGGTTTGAAAAGCCACTGTGTGGGACTTGCAGGGTTAGTATCCACACCTACGTAAGACAAAAATGTTTCAAATGAAAAAAAAATTATGTCTATCTTTCTCACTTAATCAAAAGCTGATAAAAAGCAGGAGGAAACATAAAGCCTAAATTTAACATTATTTCAGTTGAAGTAAGGATGAGATAAACAAGGTAATTTTGTGAGCCAATGTCAGCCCAATAAATTCCATTAAAATAAATAAATACAGATCTACTAGTACATATTAGTACACTCTGTTCAACTGCAGAGCAGAGGGTTGGGAGGGCCGATGGAACAGAGGGACCCAGGACACCTGGACCAACGCTGAGGGAAATTCCTCTGGAGGGAGAGTATTGCCGATCACATTGCTTTTCAAATCCTTTCACCCCTGACATGCCTGACCCTGCAAGGTCAACGTTCCCTGGTTGAAGGGATGTGTAAAATGACCCTCCTCATGCCCAAACACATGAACCAGCTCCTAATGGCCTACCATGGTTTCCAATTCCTTGGAACAAAACCTGAGGCCACCGTGAAACAGTCCATTTTAACTCACAGCTTAGCACTCTTTCTCTGCTTTATGACACATCCAGCTCTATCGTGGGCACAATTTGTCAGTCATTATGACACAAAATTGTCCACCAGAGTACAAAATAAATGACGAGAGATGGACCAGAGTAAACAACACAATTTGCAGAACACACTCGAGTTCATGAGGATTTCATGACGCAGCGCTCACTGGAGAAGCTCACTGGAGGATTTCATGACGCAGCGCTCATTAGCAGTTTGGTAGCTGCATCAATGTTCTTTAGTCCACAATGTTCAGCTGCACTATTCAGCCTCATTAGAGGGAAATCATTAGCTGGCCTCAAAGGATGAGGAAATTACAAATTAATAGTAGCCTATAGTGGACCATACAGTGTGTATGTGCATATGGTGTCTTTCTCTCACTCTCCCCCACCCTCTTCCTCTCTATCTCCATAAATATATAAATATATATATATATATATATATATATATATATATATATATATGTGTGTGTGTGTGTGTGTGTGTGTGTGACATACATATATATGTCAGAATGGACTTTATAGACAGTGGGTAAATATATATCAGAATGGACTATATAGACAGTGGATAAATATTCACACACACGCATGCAACTCATTTTTTTTTGCATGTGTATATTTATGCATCATTTAAAAATATTTTAACACTCAAATATCATTATCCAAAGGGATATGCTTTAATTTAGAAATAAAGTTAAAAAGTCAGAAGCTGGTGAAGGTCAACATATGCAGAAATGCATAAACTACATAATATATAATGTTGGACAAGTTGGAATTAATAGTAAAAATTCCTGCAACATACTCATTAAACTCCAAAATTTATATTGATTTTATCAGAACACTGATTCCTTATAAATATAAATAAACTAGAGAAACAAGATTCTCAATCCAAATTTGTGCACAATTTAAAAGAAATTAAAGATATCCACAGACAAGATTGCCATATCCAACATGTGTGTGAAACTGTACTATTATACTTTACTTAATAGAAGCACTTTTGAAAAGTACACATATGAGCATTTTCCTAAATTGAGTTAGGTTTACCAATAAATCACTGATTTAGAGTTTCTGTTTTTGAGAAATTAAAGACAAAACTTTTGTAAGCCAATTTTAAATTCTATAAAGTCAGATTTTCATATGAAACATTTATTTATATTAGTATGCATATATATTTCTAAAACGTTTATATTTAAGGCAAACACTACTGATATTGTGACATATAAGTTACACATCAATGTTGCATTTCTTTTTTTATTGATTTCAGGGAGGAAGGGAGAGGAAGAGAGAGATAGAAACCTCAATGACTTTAGAGAATCACCGATCAGCTGCCTCTTGCATGTCCAACACTGACTTCATGCCCACAATCCAGGCATATGGCCTCACTAAGAACCAAACCCATGACCTCCTGGGTCCTAAGGTTGATGCTCAACTACTGAGCCACACCAGACATGCCAATGATACTTTTCTTATGAAATATATACCCCTCATTACAATGAACTCAAACTAGGTGGTCAGCACCGGGTTTGCTAGTGAATAAGGTCCCATTTGGAACTTCAGTGTCCAGTGTATGAATGATCCAGTACAATGTAATAAAGGCTATACTGGAAATGTGAGCATTTTCCTGTGTGCATCCAGACAGACTAATAAGTAATTCAGGCTGTGTGTGTCAGGAGAGGTTTCACAGGAGAGATGGTATGGGTTCTGAAGGATGACTGGGAGTTTTAGGCAATGAAGGATATGACAATGCAAGCCGGGTGCTGTATAAAAGGCATGCATCATAGAGTTATAAAACTCATTTGTGGTTGAGAAAGAGTGGGTATTCCTTGATGCTTATAACATGGGGACCTTCATGAAAGGGGCAAGATATGAAAATACTCCATGATACAGGTTGATATCATTTGCCTTAAAGGTCCATCTATCCAGGAGCTTTATGCAATGTATAGGCAACAAGAAATCAGGGAAGACATTTGGGTAGAGGAGTGATATGATCTGCTCCCAGTCCTGCTGGGAGAATTATTTAACCTCTTTATGCCAGCTGTCTTTTACCTGGATGTCAGTTATCTTTAACATAGAATCAGTTGTCTTTTTCATCTTTACAGGACGTAGGAGGATACCTGATACAGAGGAAGAGAAGAAGTAGTGAGGGAGATAGGAGATGAGGGAGGAAGGGAGAAAAATAAAGGATAAGAGAAGAAGAAAGAAGGGAGGAAGACTGAAAGACAGGGAGATAGATAGGGAGGGAGAAATATTTCACTGGTGGGAAAATTTAAGCAAAGGACAGATTTAGAAGAGACTTCTTGATGAGGAAGGGATGAAGCAATGGCTGTCAC